TTTCCAAGCCTATCAGTGCTGAGTTACGTAAGGAGGAGGATCTGTTTCAGATATTCTTGCACAGATTGGAAAGGGTCAGATGTTGTGACTTCTGTGGGTACCGAACGGGAAAACAGGGCTAACAACAGCCTTCTCCAATGTTGTCATATAGGTGGCATTTAGCTCTCCTAACCACCTCAACTGGAACGGTTGGTCCAATGGCTCCCCTGAGCAGGTAAGGTTTTGATGTACACACCAATACTTGGCAGGACCTTCCCCTTAATGAGAAGACGAAGGTCTTCTGCATGTTGCAAGGAGAACCTAGTACTTGGTTGAAGTCCATTCCCTTCACAGAAGGGAATGGGAACCTTCCGCAATTAGGGAGCTTGGACTACGCCACCCCCCCACCCCCCCAAAAAAAACCTCTGGCAAAATTTGGAAAGGTGCAACAGTGTAACATCTCCAGTGAAAGGGTCTATAAAACTGGCTGGCCCACTTTGGTAGCTAAACAACATAGAAGAATATTAAATTATAGATCAGATTGCAAAGGCTAATGGCGTTTAACCCGGGGAGGACATTAGGGGTGTATTTTAATTATCTTGCATCTGGAGAAGTGTTTAATAACATTTCAGGAGGTCAAATAACTGCTTTTATCAGAAATGTATGTAAACGTAACAATGCAGTAAATGTAAATAACAGGATGTGAAAGCCCCAGTGGATTCTAAATAAATCAATACTTTAGAATTTGTTAGGAGATTTATTCTCGAGTCTTCCCTGGATGTTTTGCCTTTAAGAGAAAGATGCACTTTCAGAAAAAAAAATGCCAATGGATACACATAACTGATATTTACCTGCCAATACTCGGATTTAAAACATGTTATTAGTTATTTTTCTCAATGCTGACATACCCAAATACCCAGTAACACAGGTAAGTAAGATGTTGCCTCATGTAAATAAGAAATGGTTTACCTGTAATAATTTTTCAAAGTACAGGAAAATGCACTCCTGATAAAAAATTTGGAGTTTATCAAATGTACTCGACTGATTTAAATACACCCTGTCACACATATACATAAATTGAACAAGTGAGCCATCGTTTCACTCAATCTACAGGAGCTACACAAAGAATATATGACTGTTTTGAAACACAAGTATGTCTTCACCAGACTGGGAAATCCACCATATTAGATGTTACATTTTTTTACACTCTCTTACAAATGAAGACACTTTGTTAATATGGAAACCACCATATGACAGCCTGTTTTTTCCCCTTTCCCAATACATGCTGCTGGAAACCATCAGGACTACCGTATCCGAGCTACAAATTCTGAACAAACCACTAAAGGGCAGCAGAGAGACATGGAAAACTCTTAAAACTCTCTGCTGCCACCTAGTGGTTCATCTGATAGTTGCAGGCCAGATAGAGCAGCCCTGAACATAAGCAAAAAAAGCAACGAGGAAACTGTACAGAAAATATGTCTGTTAATATCAACCCTGTAGAAGAAATGAGGCAGGAAGATTCTTTTGTGTCCCTCTCATGTTATATATTTTCTGCTCAAGCGGTTTTTCTTCAACTTTGGGCAACTTTGAGAGGTATGGATTTCAACTCCCAGAATTCCTGAAATAGACAGCAAGCTGGCTGGAGAATTCTGAGAGCTGAGTGCACACCAGAGATGGTATTCTGCCAGTTCGCCCTCGTTCAAGCGAATTGGTAGTGGCAGTGGTAGGGGGCTCCGCCCACCCATCCAGACGCCCTGTGCATGCGCAGAAGCGCCGCGTGTGAGCTTCCGTTTCCAAACTGGTAGTGACGATTAGAGCATTTCATACCTGGTCCACAACCTCTTAAAATTGCCAAGGTTGAGAAACTGGCCTAGAGTGAAACATTTGGGAACACTGAACTAAGGCTTAAGCAAGATGGGACTGGCAGTAACTCAAACCTAGGGAATCTATGGTTCTCCCAAAAGTTATAATTTTTAACATCCATGACTACGAGCTTGCTTCACAGCCATAAGTTCCTCAACTCTCTCTACTAGGAATAAGTTCTGTTTGAGGCTCATTCGAGATCTATTTCTCAACCAAGTGTTGCCTCTTTGTTCTTGGAATGTCAGTTTTTTTTTTGTTTTGCTTTCGCTTCTAACCCTTTTAAGATTTGGGAAATAATGGAAATCGCTCAAATATTTCCTCTTCCATGCTCAACACAACAACATTTTGGACTCAGGTGTTTTGATGCCTTTTGTATGATGCTCTTTTTTTAAAAAACAACAACAATCCATACTTATTTTTGAAACTGCTATTTCCCACTCCCAAATCTGATTCTACATTACCCATTGCCTATAACATAGCAATTATACAAATCCTAGCAAGCAGTGTTAACAATGGTGTGGCTGTCACGGGCAGTCTAATTTTGTATGTGATTAAAAAGAAAGCAGAGCAACTCCTGAAGTACTTCTACTAGAGCAACAGACTGTCGTTTTGAAACAGTACAATCTCCAGCAAGTTGGGTTGAAGTCTATTTTCAAACGTCCTCGTGTGTGAGTAAAGGCTGAGTAGACGAAGCACTGCTACCCACCGAGTTAATTCTTACGGAGTGATCTGTGGCGTTTCCTTGACCACAAATGCCGTTTGAAACGTTTGAGTAAATCTGGAAAAGATAAGAAATTAGAATCAGTCTCTCGGACACAACACCAAACAATTTGCTTTTTGCATCTCATCCGCAAATGCCGTCTAGCTTTCCTCAATCTGATAAAAGCGTATTATAAAAGCTCAAGCCACCGTAATTTTAGTGATTGCTTGTTTGCTTGCTCGGAATATTGATTCTGTTTATGATTATTATTTTTTTTGCTTCCTGTCTACATTTTATGGAGATTTCAATTACCATATCGCGAGAGGCAATCAACAGACATATTTTCACATTCGAGGGATGTATGTATATAATCAATAATTGATGTTGATTCATTCTGACTGTGATAAACTCAACGTGGCTGGTTTTTTTTTTAACAGATGATGATTTTAACTAAGGATGTGTCCTCTTAGTTTTGAGAGAAGGACAGTTTCCATCTATAAAATTAATAGTGTTTAATTCAAGCATCAATTAAACAAGAGATATAGAGTGGAGAGGGGGAAGATGCTCAGCACTGCAATATTAAAGGAACGGTTTTGTATTCATCTTTAAATACACCTGTTTAGATTTCAATGTCTGGACTGGGATCATGTGACCAGAGAAATGGTACGATGGGCGGAACTTTGAAGATGGCTCATTAAGTACCATTTCCTCAGCACTGTTTTAAGCTTAAAAGGTCACTGAAGAAGTGGTTAAGTAATGACCACCTGCAGCTAAAAGTTGTTTAGAGAAAAAGAAAAATCCCGAATAATGAAGACAATGTAGGCATCGAAACTGATTAAGAAAGGTGGGGGGAACACAGTTAAGCACTTGTTTCATTTTTATTTTTCCCTTGTCAATTTTGTTTTTAACCACACTTTTAGTTGTGATTTTATGTTCTGTATATTATCTTGTTTATAAACAACTTAGCTGAGATGGAGCAGTGTACAAATTTCATTGACTGATGCATAAATAGAAGAAAGAAAGAAAGAAAGAAAGAAAGAAAGAAAGAAAGAAAGAAAGAAAGAAAGAAAGAAAGAAAGAA